AGGCTGTTCATTTCATTGCGGTGAATGTTTCATTTTGCTGTTGCAACTACATTAGCATGCATTCTAAGGAGTTCACTACAATCCCGGAATGTTCAGAATTTTCCCCATTTATGTCGTCTTTATATTCTTCTATAACGGGGCGGTATGCTGTATTTTTTCCCAATACAAGTCCTATGACACTTTTTCCAATGTATCTGGCAACAACATTAGCCATGTAACGTGCAAGTTATAATAACTGTATTTAGTAACTGTTGTTTATATTCATATTCCAGCAGTTGTACGTGTTTATATTAAAACAATACAGATATCGGTAGTAGTTAGAAACTACTTATTGTTTTCGTGATCTTATTAGTGGTTACATAATATGCGTATAAACAAGTAATAAATAGTAATATAATTTAAAGAATTTAGCGAGATTCAGAAAAACTACTGTTTGTCATGATAGCATCTGACGTCTTTTCAAACAGGAGCATTGAAGGCATTAGTATTTTGCAAGCGAAACTTCTTTCGAGGCCGTTGGTTGAATGCCTGCGACTTCGTTGCAACGTTTTCGCTACAGCTACGCGATTTTACCTTCTGTTCTTTGCGGTATTTTCTTATGCGCTTTAAGCATATATTTGCGCAATTTTGAACCGAAATGATGAGTAAATTATAGTATTGTATAGTATTAATGGTATGTAGTATGCATAGTAGTTTAGATAGATAGTCTGTAGTATTGATTGATGTTGTTTAGCTGTGGCATTAATCGAATATTGTTTATTAAGCAGAAAAGTTATGAATGTTTTTGTATGACTCGTCTAAAATTCTTCGTAATATAATAATGATCAAACTGGAAGTGTCAGTAGTCACTGCTGAAATATTCACACCCTACTTTCTTTCTGTACGAGCATTAAGGAAATCGAATTTGCAGGGTACGAGTGTTGTTTAGTAGTAACCCCTCCCATGATTTTGCATTCCTAACGCTGTCCTCCCGCCAATATTGCGATCAACACCTGAGGAAATATTGCTTCAAGGGTTTGAGAACTGGTTTTATTGCCTCCAGACGTCTTTGTAACGGCCGTCTCTGCAGGCAAGTTACAATTCGAAAATGCTGTAGTTGTTTATGTCCGTCTGTCCCTATATTCGACTGTTCACTTGTATGATTTTTATTTTAAAATTAAGGGGACATCTCTGCACTAGCGATTTTGTGTATACGAAAGTAAACATTTTCGTCGATTTCGACACGGATTTTTGTTGCTGCACAATTCTGTGATACTTTTTTTGTTCGATTTCAGCTACTTACTTTTCAATAACTGTTTACTCGAAAGTTTTCTTTTCGGGCATGTTTTGTGTTGTTTTAGTAAGCGTTGAAAGTTTGGATATTGCAGACGAAAAGCGATCGTGCAAGAGCAGGAAGGAAAAGGGATACGCTCATCTGCAGCGACCTTCCAGCGAAGAAGAGCTCGTTTTTGTCAGGTAAGTTTTTGTGTATTTTTTAATTTTAATTTTAAGTACTCTTTTATTTGTCGTAGTTTTGTGAATAAGAATAGCATTTTCTACGGGCTTTAAAAAAGTGTTGTTTGTTTTCGTGCAGCTTTTTTCTGTTAAGTGATCATGGTGTTTTGACACGACATGTTTTTGCACGTCTGTTTATTTGCTGTATCATCACCAGCATGATTTGAGTCTTGTTTTCATTCTTTCGCCTGAAGTACAGGGCTTGTAGGACTGTATTCACGGACACTCGATTCGCCATGCTTCCTGATGATGTCATCATGATATGAGACCTTCTGTTCTTTCAGGTTTTGGAACAGCCAATAGTGAGTGACAAGCTGTTGCAGTGTTGGTGTAATTTTGAGGACGACTTGATCAGTTTCTTCGTAAAATGACACTATACGTCTTTTTGAGCGGTGGGTCAAACTTATGGGTAGATCAAGATGACCTGCAGCCGTTTAAAGCCACACTGTACAAAGTAGATCTGAATATTTAGTGTTCTGTTCATACCAGAAGACACAGTTCAAAATGATTATTCGAAGCGACTCTGTGTAGTCGGTTTATCAGGTGATGGACCAATACGAAAGCACCTGATATATCACCGATCTTTTGTATAGTGACGCTGATTGACATTTTCAGTTGCTGTGGAAACCGTCTGCATTAGCTGGTACATTTGGAGCCGCAAGAATATCATCTTGTACCTGATTTTTACTGCCTACTTAAAATAAATATGCCTTATATTTTCATCACCCCGTTTTTTCTATTATGAATAGTTTTTGATCTCAAAATTAACTGTGCTTAAAACTCGGATCTCTTGGAACTACTTAAATCCTATGCGGTTTCCGAACCATATTTTGACCTTATCATCTTCAGCAGAGGAACTCAAACAAAGAATAATCTATATGCACGACTCTAGCATTAGAGTATGACTGAAAATTAACCTAATACGATTCAGCTCATGTTTGACAAGCAGGTAACTTCACGACCTGTTAAAATCAGGCTTAGTGAAGTGTAAAACTACATATATCTGGGCTGACTCATCTTTGCAGTGGAGAACCGGCTATGTAAAATCAGCAGAACAATAAAAATGACATGTGACACATTTTAAAAATTGAAAATGTTTCTGTTCGAGAAACTGTCATGTGCTTGAAACGAAAATTTTCGATCAGCGTTTACTCCCAGCGCTATATTATGGCTGCAGTACGTAGGGCCTAAGCCTTGAAGCTGTCTGTACACTTGACTATGCAGCGCTAGTAATTTCTCACCTGATAGAAGCAAACTGTTTCTCCTTCAATGGCAAGTTTTTCAAACAGACCAAACGAGCACCCATGAGCAACCCACCTTTCCCCGTCCCCGTTCTTGCTAAAATTTTTATTGTTGATTTGGAAATTATGGCCCAGGATACCAACCCTTACATGTTTCCAAAGATTTTTAAGCGAAATGTTGACGGTATTCTTGCTATGTATCCCAGTAGAAATGAAAATTGAGTATTAAACATTCTCAGTATCATCTTCTCTCAAAATGTAGAGCTAATCATTGAAAAGAAAACTAACTCAAGTCTGCCTTTTTTCGATGTCGTGGTAACTAACTCTGTTAATTGCTATAATACCAAAGTTTAGTGTAAGACAACTAACACTGATAAATATCTGAACTTTAACTCTTATAATCATTTAAATAACAAAAGACCTGTAATTATACCTTTAATAACCTAACCCTTAAAATTTGTAGTAACTTAGAGAAGAAATAAAACATTAAGGCAACCTTATGTGATAACAAAAATAATTATCCTTTTAGGTTAACAATACCATGGATCGTAGAATTAGCCATTTCAAATCCACCTGCAACACTAATTAGTAAGAAATAGCATTTCAGATAATGAGCCTTACTTGATTCTACTGTATCATAAAAATGTTTATGAAAAAAATGACAGACTACCTAACACTAGATACAATATAAATGTTATATATAAAAGTTTCAATCTACTTAACACTTTTGAACTAATTCTAAAACTAGCAACGAACAGCAAGCATGATTTACAAATTATCTTATGATTGTGGGAAATATTATATAGAAGAAATGGAAAGTACCGTCATTCAAAGGACAATAGACTACCTGCCAATCTGGACTAGATGGATGACTGCAGATGAACGCAAATGATACGCAACCACAAAGCATCAAGAAAGAAAATAGACCCTGCCTCCTAACAAGGTCAAAGGACAATGCGA